GACCACAATGCCTGTGGCTTTGCGCCAAATTCCGGAGCACGTAGGTTTAGGATTAAAGTGAAGGTAAGCGTTCGGTTTACTGTTGAGGTTAAGGCAAGAGTTGGGGTTGAGGTTTTGGTTCGTGTTAATTGTAGGGCTTAGGGTAGAGCTAAGGTTAAGAGTAAGGTTACAGTTTAGTTCTATGCTGGAGTAAAGGCACCGGCCTATTTATCCTATCTGAAATGTATCGTACGGCCACCTATTTTGAGTGGGCAGGACGGTCCTATTCCGATGTCCTATTTAGTTGGCCATACAAGTATCGCAGGGAGTTAAGTTATTGAAACCCTAGCAGGTGCGATTTTCAGGCCCAACTCCTCAAGGGGAGAGAAGTTACGGGAGGTCAGAGTGGAAGGAACGGGTTATTATGTACAGAAAGAATGGAGAATAAGTAGTAAAATATTGACCGCCAGACGAGTGAGCAGCCGCACGCCACAGGGGCGCGTCCGACAGTCAATTTTCTACTACCTATTCCCCATTCCTTCTGTAGAAAATTAGCTGTTCCTTCCACTCCGGTCTCCCGTAACTTCTCTTCTCCTAAGGAACCGGGCCTGAAGATCGCAGTTGCTAGGGTTTGACAAACGTAAACCCCTGCGATATTGGTGACCCCGACGTGATCTGAACTCACAACCTCTGATTTGGTTTACTGCCCCTGCGCTTATGGTGACTTCCTGATGTTTCCCTGCGATACAAGTCATCTTTAACAATATGGGATGAGCATAATGCTGTGCGTTTGTATCGTGTACACCAGAGGGATATCTCAGGAGTTTTTAGGGTTCTCTCTGTCAACGTAACGCCTCAGTTTAAACTTATGCGTCCCCCGCGCAGTTAGACTATACCTGATCCACAAAACGTTCGTTCATTAAACGTCAAATCCATACTGTGGTGTTGTCCAACAATGCTTGTCCTTTTTACTTGCATGCTTTCGTCTACCGTCGCTTATAAAGTGTTTGAAGTTGCCCCTTAAAATGGACCCTAACCTGAACGGCCGAAGGCGTGCTTTTAAAAAATCTTCGCCTGAGGCACTCCTCTCCCTGCTTAATGTGTTATTCATAAAGCGGATATTTTCAAAAAGAACCCATTGCTGTTTCCAGGGTTTCCCTGACTATATGGCCAACAAAGAAATCCTGAAGAACCTTCGCACCACTACCAATGATGACGTTTCGCCCTTCCTGCACCAGTATGCGCGTGCCGCCGTAAGTTTCTCTGCAGTTTATAGCCTCAATTTGCACGATATTTTGCACCGGTACTGATGTCTAAAGCAGCAGCAACAGCAGCAACGGTGGCTTAACCCTCTTCTTTTCCCAAAATACATTCCTGTACAAGGCACTTCTGCACTGTCTCCGGGACAGTAGTACTATCGAGGAAGTAATGCTAATAGATTAAACCCTTGTCACTGAGTTCTTCAGGCCCGGTTCCTTAGGAAGACAGAAAACATGGGAAGGGCAGAATGGTAGGATGAGTTTATTCTGTACAGAAGGAGT